GTTTGGGGAGAATCTACCAAATAAGTGCTCGGGCTTAGAGAGGGACCATAAATAAGGCATTATCTCGCTTTATGTCATTTAACCAAGAAAGAAATTCATCAGTAGCTTCTGTAAACTCAGAACCAAGGAAAGACGGAGACAGAGAGAGACAGAGAGAGGGGTTATGATCAGGGAACAAGAATTCTGCCTCTGAAGTAGTCAGTGTTCTGAAGCTTTAAAAAGGCCTCTCTCTCTCTCCCTCCCCCCACCTCTCTCTCTCTCTCTCTCACACACACACACACACACACACACACGCACACATTCGCACACACCTGTAAATGCTTTGGTAATCTGTGAACTCAGACATCTTAGACTTGAAAACCTGGGGTTTCTATTCCCATGTGAGGCCTGCAGAGTGGAAGATTGAAAGTACCTAAGAAAACAAAGACTTTCTGAGGCCTGTGGTCTCCGTAGCTGGGTGAAGGCCACTGAAGGCTTCTGATCTCGGTAAGTGATGGTGTCACACAAAATGGCATCTGTACTTGAGGCAAAGTCTTCCAGTGCAGACCCCATCCTCACTGCACTGAAGTGACTGGTACCCTTGAACCTTACAGATCAGTCAGTCCATGCACCGATACACGACTGAGCTAGATTCCTCTCATCTTCCCACCATGCTTAGCATTTAAAACCTCTTGCATAGGATTAGTTGCTGAATTGTTCCTACTGAGAAGGCCCTGAACCTAGGTGCCTTGGTATCTGCACAGAAAATTATCAGTTTGCACACAGGTTGCCCCAATACTGCACATTTGAACAGACATTCTAAAGCTAAAGACCTGTCAACATTTCCACTACAAACCTTTCTCTTCCAAAATTATGACCTAGCACTAAAACAGTCAGGGGGAATGCCTGGAGAAAATGGTGTCACTCTGGAATGCACTAGTTTTATTTAATAAGTGATGACCTTAAACCATTAAAAATTATTAAAAAATAAACCATTAAAATTGCTTACTTATAAACTACAAACAGAATGGACAATCTTGTCTTCCTAGCTTGTTCTAATGTGACAGCTATCATTTTAGATTTCTTGACATCTCCCCTTCCACACCCATCTTCCACATCTCTTGGGCCTTTACATCTGTCTCCACTTGAATCAATTTACATCACCTCAAAACCATCTGGCCAAACAATGTCATGTGTGACCCAAGCTACTACTAATGGGACTCTTGTCATCTGTTCTACAAGCCAACACATGCATACTTCCTAGCAGGGAGCTACAGTTATCTTTCCGAAATATGAATATTGTCATCTCTTTCATGCTTACATCCCTCAGTGGCTTCCTACACCTAAGATGTAAACGCTTAGCGTGGTCCACAAGACTTACCCTGTTTTTAGTATACCGTTCTATTTAGTATCTCTCTCTGTGATGGTGTGAATATGCTTGGTCCCGGAAGTGGCGCTATTCAGAGGTGTGACCTTGTTGGGAGTAGGTGTGGCCTTGTTGGAGGAAGTATGTCACTGTGGGTGTGGGCTTTAAGGCCCTCATCCTAGCTGCCTGGAAGCCAGTCTTCTCCTAGAGACCTTCAGATGAAGAGATGTAGAACTCTCAACTCCTCCTGCACCATGCCTGCCTGGATGCTGCCATGCTCCTGCCTTGATAATGGACTGAACCTCTGAATCTGTAAGCTAGCCCCAATTAAATGTTGTCACAGCAGTAAAATCCTAAGACACTCTCCGTGTTTCCATACATTGACCTTCCAGTTTCTTACCTTATCCTTCCCACTTCAGGTCTCAGAACCTTTGCCTTGCTGCTCCTTTCAGGACTGCTCTGACCCACGAGCAGTTCAATAACTACTCTTGTTCAAACCTTTAGGTTTCAGCTCAAAAGTCAGTTATTTAAATAAGATTAGCATACTCAAACCTCTCCATTTTCTTACTTCCTAAGGTTTTTCTTCATAACACAAGTGTATTCATGTGTTTCTTTCATAGCACAATTGTATTTGTATATTTGTGAAGGCTTGATAATATGTATTTTTCTCACCAGGTTGCAAAACTCATGAAACTAAAGCAAGAAGTGTTTCCTTAAATAGTTAGCACCGTACCTAGTATACAGCAGGCATTCACAAATGCTTGACTGTATCAACAAAAATGATCAACAGTGTGTGGACATAGCTCTGTTGACATTTTTGCTGACCATGCAAAAGATTCCCTGGCACACTAAACATCCAACATGGTGATTCATGTCTGTAATCCCTGCCCTCAAGAGGTAGAGGCAGAAGGATCAGAAGTTCAAGCTCATCTTCAGCTACATACAGAGTTCAAGGCCAGCCTGAGCTACAAGAAATCCTTTCTCAAAACAAAAGTCAGATTGAAATGGTAAGGTCATTTAAAGTATCATTCACCCCAGAGAAACACCAAGAGGCTCAGGAGAGGGAATTTTGTCTTCATCTCACTGCTTTACAAAATTAAAAGCAAAGACATCTTCAAAGTACTCTTTAGTTCCGGTAATAACAACAGGTCAAGACAGAAGAGGCCCTGGCTGGACAGAGCCACAGGCATGTCTGAGGGGAGCAGAGGCAGAACTTTCATTTGGTAAGCTGGATTGTTCTGGCCTAGCTCAAGCCTTCTGGAGGGATCAAGAGGCCACACAGAGACCCATATCCAAGATTGAGAAGCAGGTTCTCATAAAAGAACTGCAACCACAATGGAAAAGTACCACAAGGTAGAGGAAAAACCCAGGACCCGGACTCAGCATCCGAATCTTCCCTAACTCTCCCCTAGCACTGGGTCTCAAGAACCCTCAGGTTCCTTTTAATCAGAGGGAAGAGACAGTCTCTGATGAACAAACACTCTTACGACATCTGACACTTTAAATTGCTTTAGATTACTATTTGCTCATGAGACATTAATGTCTCCCGATACCTAAGCATTCTTTTTAATATACTGTGCTAGTAAATCTTAAAAAAAACTTTGTCTCTCTGGGGCAAATTATAGAAATGACAAGTTATACTAGGTCTATTGACAAACTTATCAAATAAATTGGACAAAAAAATTAAGCTATGCTCACTTCATAGACATTAAGGTGGGCACTATAGTTTATTACATATCAACACTAATAAACTACCTAGGAAGATGCTATGATGCGCCCCCACTTGTATAGCCCTAACTGTCCTTTCACTTATGTATGACCTTTTTCAGCCTCCCCAAAGCTGGGATTACCGGCAGGCTCCACCTTGCTGGGTCCAATCATGACTTTAAAATGATAAGAACTACAGGACATTTTACACATAGCTAGTTTTGGCAGGTTTTCGATTTCCTTCTCAGATAAATGAGGCTTAGGATTTCCAGCGTCATATGATGCTTTTATATAAAAGAGCATTTGATGACTTGAAAAAAACATCAATTTCAATATTCAGCTCATCAAGTCAGTTTGAGAGCAAACATTTAAAAAAAATCACTCCAAACACTGGGAAAAGGAAAAAACTGTTTCATCAATTTAGACGACTTAGGTGGGGCTCCACTTCAGTAAAGCCAGCCTCAAAAACTGCAATTTACAGATTAAGTTGTGTCATACGCAACAACCGATAAGGGGGAACTTTCTCTAGGAGCCTTACTCTTGGAAGGTCGTCACAACTTTCCCCCTCAACTTCTTGACGCTAACTTTCCAAAAGTAAAGTTAATAAAGTAGATCACGTAGATGCAACGCTCATTTTTTTTTTTTTTTTTTTTTTTTTTTTTTGGAAAAAGCACTTTCTTAGAGACTCCTCCCACGGCTGCTCAGCTTGTGTGTCCGGGAACTCCTAGTGTCTTCCACTCTCTGAGTCTGACCTGGACTTGAGACCATGGGCTTGGAGGGCTCGGAGGATGAGAAACTCGAGGGGGGTGTAACGGTTCACCAGGCGGAGGGTGGGGGGTGGAGGCCAAACTGGGGAGGTGGGAGCGGAGCAGTTCGCGCCACCAACTGCCGGGTGAGCATAGCGCAGTGGCCGGATCCCTGTAACTAAAGTTCCAAGCAGCCTGACTAAAGCCCCAAAGCCAGGCACTGTCAAGGCTAACGCCAGCGCCGAGGGCGGCAGACGGATGCGTCCCAGCGGAGCGCGCCTCTCGGCGTCAGGCTGATAGAGCAGGCAGCGAGGGGCGGCCAGGAGCCGGCACAAGTTAGGTCCTCGGCCGGAGCAGCTCAGCCAGGGCCGGGGGAGGGCAGCCCGCTCCCTATCCGCAGGACGAGAGAGCGCAGCGGGCGGACGGGGGCTCCCCGGCGCCCGGGTGCGGGGACACCGATCCGGATGGGGATGTGTCTCTCCCCTGTCCGGGAATCAAAGGGACAAGGGGGTGCGGGGCGAGGCCTCAGCTACCCGTCGCACCCGGCTCCGGGCCACGGGAGTTGCGGGGAGGCGGCGCCGTGGGCTGGAACCCGAGGCGGGCAGGCTAGGGGCGCCCCCGCGGCGAGCACCCGGACTGGGCGGGGACCACGGGAGAGGCTGGACCGCGGGGCCTGCTCCACCGGACCACGGCGGCGGCGCAGGCATCTCGCCTCCTTCAGGCCTGCACGCGCCACAGGCCGCAGCTCGGATCAACCCCGCGGCCACCCGCCGCCAGCGCGGGGGTCGCAGCCCCGAGTCGGACACCGAACAGCCTCGGCTCCGGGGAGCCGACTCTGTCCCGCGATCCCGCCCCGGCAGTCCCGGCGTTAGAGCGTCCGCCTAGCCGCCTAGCCGCCGCCGCAGCGGCAGCAGCTGTAGCGCGGGTGACGGCGCTGAACCCGGGGCGGGGACGCGCGGGAGGAAGGGGCGGCCAGGGGGCGGGCCGGCGGCGGCCGAGGGGTACCCGTGGCGTTGGGCAAGGCGCCCCCGATCGGCCGGCGCCGGGCCAGCGCCACCTGCGGAGCTGCGGCGCCCACGCGGCCGCGACCCCGCCGCCCCTCGCTCCCGCCACACACACACACACACTCACACGAGCGCGCGCGCGCAAACAAAACAAGTTGCAGGTCGCCGCTGCCGGAGGGGGCCAGGCGGGTCACTCACCCTCATCCTGTCCAGTGGGCTCGGGTCGTCGGGCCGCGAGGACAGGGAAGACCAGAGCACCACGAGCCCCAGGAAGCTTCCCACCACCAGCAAACTGCGTAAGATGAACCCGATCTTCAGCCTCATCTTCCTCCGGCGGCGAGAGACACACAGCCCGGCGCAGCCGCCGCCACCGCTCTCCCCTCCCTCCTTCCCCCTCCCCCGGCCCTCCTCCTCCTCCTCCTCCTCCTCCTCCTCCTTTTTCCCCCACCCGGATCACTACGCCCGCCGCCCTCCCCACCGCCTGCCCTCTCCAGCTCCAGATCCGGAACTCCCCTCGGCTTTACCTTCCCCCTGGCTCGGCCCCTCCGCCCCCTCCCCGCGCCTGCCTCTGCGCTGCGCTGCCGCACCCCCCTCCCCTCCGGCGGCCTCCGCAGAGCTCAGACCGGCCGGAGTGTGTAGCTCTCCAGGCTTCCTTTCTCTCTACCTGCCCGCTCTAGCTCCGCAGTCCCCCCTTCTCTTCACCCGCGACCGCGAGAAACCCCCCCACCCCCATGCGGGTCCCTAGTAACCTTGGAACTAACTTAACACTTTCCCCCAGATCTGGTCTTAGCCTTTGCCCTACGGCTCCGCTTCCTGAAGCTTGCAGATCCCCAAACTTTTATTGTAATTATGGACCAAAACTCTGTCCTTGACTCCCGTGCCCTCCCAGGATGCTGCCGCCCGTCGCCCCTCAGGTGGACCTGCAGCCGCCCTAGGCTGCCCTTCCCTTCCCGGCGCCCACTGCCCAGTCTCCCCAGTCTCCCCAGCCAGAGGCTTGCAGGAAGGAAACCAGGAAGTCAGCCACCGCCGCTGCAGCAGTTGCTCCACGTGGCTGATTTATAGCAGGATTTTTTTTTAATCGTGTTTTTTTCACAGGGCTCCTTAAGGAGGTGGATTTGTAATCGAAAGGCCCAGGTGAGATGTGCAAACACAAGAGGACTCACTTGGAAAGGCAGTATTACCTTTTCTCCTGAGCTAATTAGAAAGCCAAGTCGACTAGCTAATTCACACTACGGTCCTTGTTGATGGACTTGTAAGTTCCTAGTCTGGGGAAAAGTGGATTTCGGGCTTAAACGTTACACACATGCATCGTCGCTTCTCTCACAGCTGATTTTTCCAGGAAAGGATATTGGCAAATGTTTAGCTCCACGCCTCTCCCTGTACATTGTGCCAAAGATGTCAATCACTTTAAATCTCAGTCTACAGTGTGTGCCATCCTCCTAAACTACTCAATTTGTCCAACAACTGCTTTTCTGTAGCAGGTTTAAGGATGGCGTAAATTGACCTTTTTAATCCTAATATTGCCTTGTCCGCTTGTATTTTGCTTTAAAAACAAGTGAAACTTGGTTAAGTCTTCCTGAGTGACCAGCATGATATATATATTGTTATTCAGATATGGATTTCTATTATTGAGAAGATGGCAAGCCGACTATGATTATGAGCATAACTGGGCAGATAAACAGCTGAGAAGTAGCCCTTGTCACTGAAGTGACGGGAGGCCACCCAACTGCTGTCAGTAAGTCTAAGATGACCCTGCCACCACAAGTTGAAATATGAAAGGCCAAAGAGTTAGAAATTGATGAACAGGTACTCGGTTATAAAAGCCGATGTTCCTCTGAGTTCTTAACATTGTTTAAGTGAAACTGAAAGTATACATGAAAATACACGGCTTTCGCCACGTTTGCTGGCAGGCAGCCTTTGTAGAGAACACTTTAGAAAAATGAGAAGCTACATTAAATGACTGGGTCAGGAAAAAGACACACTTAGCCTCTCTGAGCCTAGGGCCCTTATCTGCCAAAATCATGATTATAATACTTCACAATATTGTCAAAAGGAATAATTGAGGCCAAGTGCACATGCAGATATAAAGCACAGATAATGTGAATGCGGAGAGGCTTGGTGATTATGGGTATAATTCTCGGGAACGCCGCAGCTATTACTGTATGTAAGGATTGTTACTAGGAGTTGTTTCTGACTTGTTGATCCTTGGGTCATGTTCCCTGAAGACGAGAGTAAAGATTTGCACCTAATGGGAGAGAGTGAAGAAGAGAAGCAGTGGTCTCTGACAGGTTCTGAGATCACATGTGAATGATGACACGGTTGCCTTTGCCTCCGAGGCCAGCTGGGGCCTCCAAAGCAAAACTGCAAGGGAGTAAGATTTCTGAGAAGGCAGTGTGAGCACAATGGTTCACATTTGTCGTTTAAGCTTTCTACGGCCTGAGATTGGTGTTCACTGTTCTTCGAATTCAGAGCAGGTTTTCTCATCTTGCCAGCACACGCAGTCTTTGCCAAACAGTATAATCATCTTGTGTTTATTAGAAAAGGCTTTTAGGATTCCACAGGTCAAGACCTAAAGGTTTGGTGATTTTAAAAAATCATCACCCACATGAACTCTGCTAAAGAGGACCCCCCAATACACACACACACACACACACACACACACACACACACACACACACACA